CAAAAAAAAAAAAGGTTATAGCTCTAATTCTATGCAATAAGGTATTCCTACCCACCCATGCAAATTAAAGTAAATGGCCACTATCATGTATTCAATTGCATACTTGATTTGTTAAGATATATGCAAGTTATCTAATTTTAAACACACGTAAGCAGTTGGACACTAACACTATAAACAATTGTATTTATTGCAATTTTATATTGCAGAAACGAGCACGCTGTTCTATTTTGTGATTCAAATGCGCGTACGCAATATTAGACTCTTCATTTAAAAGAAATAGTTACTTCTCCTGACTTATAAGTTATAATCAACTCTTTAAAACATAAAATGATTCAGATATCCAATCTTAACACCTACAGTAAGTGGTTCGACTCAATAATTAGTTAGATATATACTTCAAATGCTGCTATACTTCATGCCTACGTGCAATTATCAAAGTTAGCTAGTTTAAACCAACCCCCCTCCCCACCCCCAACCCAACAAAAAGGGCCTGTAAATTTACATAATGATTCCCAATCATCTGAAAAAACTTTTTGCTAAGCCATAAATTGCAGAATTGTCAACCCAGACCCTTGGTGCATAAACTTCAACCTTCATTCAAAAATACCATCAAAATGCTAGTCCAACCCAATCTTAAGTATGCCACGTGTTATGACGGATTACACGTACATTTTTCATTCGCAATATACATCAAACAAAAAAAAATCAATAGATAAAGTAGATAATTCACCAATAAAAATCTCAAAGTCAAAGTGAAGATAATTAAGTTCACAATTAACCTGTTCTCATTTAATTATTCATTCTTGCTTTTGAAAATATTAAATTACCTTACAACCTGTAATTATGTTAAAATAAATTTTAACTGCAACATCACTTTCTTTGGGAACATCATTCGTGCAACGGACAACTAAATTTGTAGAGAACTCATGGCAGTTTGAGCATGGACGTTTGGCCAAAGTAAATAGGCCTTCTGTGCTTTGCCTTGAGTTTCGGGGAGGCTTTTATTTGAATTTATTTTTTTTTATTTTTTTTGGTATTATTACTTTTATTCCGCGTCAGAAATTGTTTACATTCGTTAATTAAAAATGTATAAAATTTGAGTAATTTTTGTATATAACATACAGAAGGTATATATATACAAAAAAATATTTTTTCGAATATTATTTTGAAAGCAACTATAAAATATCATTTTTGCTTTTTCCATTTTCCCAAGGACATCTCTAACCCGTGAAACGAGCATGGTGACTGGACTTAGGCTAAAAGTCCTTGTCTGAAATGAGCTGTCTAACCAGTAAAAATTGCATGGGGTGTCTTATTTGGTCGCGCCATTTAACTTGTACTCACTTTTTAAACTTTAGATAACTTAAAGGCTTTTTTCTCCTTCTCCTTTTTCTTCTTCTTCTTCTTCATCATCTTCTTCTTCTTCTCCTTTGCTGTGAAAATAAAGGTGACGGTGAATTCATATGGTAATTGTAAGTATATTTTAAGGTAGTTTATGGTATTTTACAGTGGTGAGTTGTTGTGACGCTTTATTGTTTACTACTACTTAGGGTTTCTTCTTCTTCTTCTTAATTGCAAAATGGGTTTGTTAGATTTATTGTTGTATTGACAAATTGATGATTGAGGTTTGTTCTTGATGATATTTGGAGATTTATGTTTCAAATTTGAGTTCACTTGGAGTAGATTTAGGTGTTAACTCGTGTATTGGATTATTGAAATTCGAAGAACAAATTTCTGTACCTGGACAATTTGCACTTCAGACCTGCGCGGCATTAAATGCATGAAAACATTGTTTGCACTTAGACCTATTTGGCCTTAAGTGCATCTCAAGTGTAATTTTTTTCACTTCAGACCTATTTGGCCTTAAGTACATCTAAAGTGTAATTTTTTCATTTCAGACCTATTTGACATTAAGTGCATGAAAATATTGGTTGCACTTCACACCTATTTGGTCTTAAGTACATCTGAAGTGCAATTTTTTCACTTCAGACCTATTTGGCCTTAATGCATCTGGAGTGTAATTTTTTCACTTTAGACCTATTTGACCTTAAGTGCGTGAAAATATTTGTTGCACTTCAGACCTATTTGGCCTTAATGCATCTGGAGTGTAATTTTTTCACTTTAGACCTATTTGACCTTAAGTGCGTGAAAATATTTGTTGCACTTCAGACCTATTTGGCCTTAAGTGTATTGCACTTCAGACTAATATTTTTTAACTTTAGACCCGATAAGTCTGAAGTTGATCCTAAAATGGGTAAGCTTGAACATTTTTGTGCAAAGTGGGTATAAGTTCAATTGTGACCCCAAAACTAGATATAAATGCAAATGCCCCTCGAACAACGGGTGATATGCACAAATAGGATCATTTAGTGCAGTTGTTTAAATTTTTACTCCGTTAAGAAAAAATTTAGAAAAATAGCCCCGCTTTACCATAATTTTAAAGCACACTGCCAAAATTTTGAAGCGCACTACTAGAACTAAAAAATTTGTACTTCAAAATACTAGCAGCGTACTTTAAAATTCTGGCGCATGGCTATTTTTTTCAAAACTTTTCTTAACGAGATCAAAATACAAACAGTAGATCTAAAAAAGGTCCATCCAGCGTAATTCTTATCTAACAAGCCTCAATCTCAAATTTCTAAAGAATTAAAGTTGTATCGGTTTATAAGAAAGTTATTTACCTAACACTATCTAGATGCTTCACTTTTAAGTGATCTCAACCAAGTCTAGAAAGTAGTAACTGTTTTTTGGAAGGTATATTTCAAGCTAAATCCAAAAAGATACAAGCTGCAAATATTAGAAATCAGAGTCTAGCAACAAAACTGTCTCTTACATGAGACCAGAAGAAACTAAGTGGGCGTTTAAATATAAGAACTGTAAAATTCCGAAAAAAAATTAAAAACAAAATATAAATAAAAATGGTATTTGAAAATTAGAATTACGTTTGGATATGAATATAATTTGAAACTGTTTTTGAATTTTTGTGAGTGATTTGAAATGAAAATTTTGATAAAATAACTTTTTTGAGTTTTTCAAATTTTCGAAAAAATTTGAAATTCAACTTCAAGTGAAATTTAAAATTTTCACGGACAAACACTGATTTCGAAAAAAATAAATTTTTCAAAAAATGTGAAATTTCTTATGGCCAAACGTGCCCTAAAATACTACATTTTTGGTTTTTCCCCACACAAAGAGCACAAGCTCCTATCATCACAATAAGACAAGAGAACAGCACCACTTTCATCAATCATTCACCGAAGAAAGATCACTTAGAATGGCTAAAGATCACTTAGAATGGCTACTTACGAGAGCCGCTCGCAACGAAAGAAACCTAGCAGCCCTATGTCAATATTCAACAAGCAAGTACGCACAAATAAGCCAATATTTTGCACCGCACTATTGCAGGTTAACAGGCTCCCATACCGTACTCATCTTCATATCCATAGGAAAGAAGCTGACTAACACAAATAATCTGGTGTAAGTCATCAATCAGCCTATTGTAGAAAAGTGAATCAAGTCATCTATCTGCCTACTGTGGAAAAGTGAATTAAGTCATGAAGAAGGCTTCAGCGATCCTCATAATATCAGAACCCAACCAAACTGATATGATGCTATTTTTATCCCAGAAGGAGCTCTTGAATGTCCATCTACTAATCTATGGCTGGATCATGTTGAACTGGAATCTGGAAAGCTGTTGAGGGATTGTGGATATCACGGGTCCATATCTCTGCCATGAGTTAGGAGAGTATTAGTATGACGAGACAAAGATTTATGAAGATGGTCATATACACCTTACTTGAAAGAACAGAATATGATGCAACAGAGATAATAAATTATTCGATACCTGAACATTGTCGTAAAGTTCAAACAATGGCACAGCAAGGAGTTTTAGATTTTTGGGGACCGCGAAGTACTCTCTTTCGGAGAGGTGAACAATGAAGAGCTTCTTACACTCCTGCATGACATTCAAAGCATCAGGAAAATAAAACAAAGGGGTAGTTCAGTCATTCAGAAAAACTTTATACTACTATACCTTTGGCTTTGATATGTGTGGAGGGCAGTATGGATACATTATGGTTTCAAAGTTCGGCCTCCACCAGGTGGCCACGCATTCACCTATCTGCATTGACAAATGTCACATTAGGAAGACATGTTGACATATATTTTCAATGAGAAAGAACACAGAGAGAGAGACAAACGGAGATTGAAGAGAAAGCAAACACTTCAATGAAGATCAATAGTTTGATGGTGGACCTTTTAAGTTGCTATGTCACAGGAAGATGGATAAACTGATATTTTCAAAGAGAGAGAGAGAGAGAGAGAGAGAGAGAGAGAGAGAGAAGCCAAATACTTATGTAAATCAATTGTTTGATGAATGGAACCTTCTAAGAAGCCACTAAAAGCTCGTAAAGAGATTACTTCAGTAGAAACTGAATTACAATCAGCTAATAGGATATTTAAAGCTTAGGGACATCCTAGATCTCTCAAGTTTACAAATCGGACAGGGTCCATTAGTTTACTCGTTGTGACTGATAGAAAAGAATCAACGTAATTGAGTGCAACCACATTTGAAATGGGCACATAAATACCACAATAGTCCCAACTAAAATTTTAGTGTGTGCCATGACATCAAGCTATCAATTCCCTCGGTTACAGAGTGAACTCCACCACTCCTTTCGACAAAATAGGTCAACCAAAATGAGACAGAAGAAATATATCATTACCCACCTCCACACAGCTGCAACGGTGGATCAACATGAATGATACTAAAATGTAACCATGCGGTGAACTTTCACTTCTATACTATAAAAAGATGCCTAATACTATACTCCTTGTTTCCTGGGGTGGATCTAGGCCTAAAATATGGGGCACGTGAACCCATGGTCTCTTTGTCAAACTAGGTATTTTATGTACATATTCTCTAGAATTGGTGTAATATACTCTGTTGGCACCCATGCTCCAAAAAGTCTGAGTGGTGCACTTGGTTCAAAGCTAAGTTATTTAGCTTGAAGAACAGGGATCAATTCCTGCTTAATACTTTTTTTTTCTTCTTTCTTTAGCGGTGCACCCATGTTCTAAAAATTCTAGATTCGCCTCTGCTTGTTTCATTTTTCACTATTGGCATACAACATAAAATGTGTCCGATACCTGTACACCCCTACATCTTTCTCCTATACAAAGAAATAAAAGCTACTAAAAAGTGCAATAGGTACCAAAGTTACCTGCCAATCTGGCTGAAGGCCAGGAGAATTAGCTGCAAGTTTGCTAGAGAGTTTCCTTTTCAAACCCTCGATTTCTGCAAACCACCAAAGAGAAAGAAGAATAGCACTGAAACTCAAAGAGTATACTATATAGGTAAAGCTAACTAAAGGGTATATCTTAGTAAATTTTAGCAAGAAACTCATGATTTACCAGAAATGCAAAGAGAAAGTATTATAAGAATAAATTTTTGATAACTATGATAAGAATTAACATATCACAAATAAGACAAGAATATACCATTTTCTCCAGGCTTTAGGCGTCCACCTGGAAGTTTGCAAAATGTGTTCCCAATTTGCAGAAGAAGGATATGAGGATGATTATGCTCTTGTACCTGTGAATTTCACGCGCAATTATAAACGATAATTACTTCATAATCACAGTTTGCAGAAATAGCTGCAATAGTTTCTTTTTTCTTTTAATTGGTAACCGTATGAGCTAGTTCTTTTAGACTTGACCCAAAAAAAAGTAGCCTATAAGTCATCTTAAATTCTTAGTTTGATGAGCATATATTCATTCTTTTCCCATCACAAGAGTATAAAACAACCCAAAATATAACTGAAACTTAGGCTGGGGTACAACAATCTTTTTCCTCCCCTTCCATTAATAAAATGCTGAGACCTGCTAATAATACCTCTATGAAGGAATTTTATTGTTTGATCAGGCAAAAGTTGGATTTTCATAATTCAGCATCCAGAGAATGCAATTGCAGTACAAAAGCAGAGAGCTCCCTTACATTCTTTGTCCTATCTAAGACTCAAGGAGCTTACAAAATCCAGAAATATAACAGCATTATTTACATCAAAATGGTTAAACCAAGCAAAAGTTTCAGCAAGCATCTAGTCTGCTCACTGCTGTACATGAATTGGGGTTGACACCCCATCAAAGCACCTTTGATCCCTCTCCTTCCAAAATGCTCCAAAATAACAGAAATGAGACATTTGCCAAATATTTCTGATGGGTTTCTCGGACTTTCCACCTTTTCCAGCTAACAAATGCTTCCTTCAAACAACCTGGTAATAGCCAATGTACGCCAAAAATGCAGGAAAGCAAGTCCCAACCCATCTTTGCTACAGGACAATGCAAAACCAATGATCTATATCCTCCCTATATGTCAAACATAAATAACACCTGTTGCAGACTGCTATACCTCTTTTTCTTAAATTTTCTTGAGTTAAACATGTCCCCAATATTGTAAACGATACAAAACAAGCTACTTCTCTGGGTGCTTTTTATCTTCCAAATTAATTTCCAGGGCCAATCTTCAGTAATTTTGCCCTAACTAATTTTCCATAAAATTCCTTCACTGTAAAGCTTCCTTTCTCTTTTTCTCCCCACTGCAGGTAGTCCCTCTCCTACCCATTATGTGCACATTTTGAATTTTAGCTAAGAGACTCAGCATCCTTTCACTCTCCAGCCTAGGCAGGGGCTTCTGAATGTTATGTTTCATACATCCCTCTCTCTTAGTTGGCTAACAGCAGCTTCAGGGTTGTTCACAAACGTAAAGAGATCTCAAATTCCTCCTTTAAGCTATTGCTACCTAGCCATTTTTTTTAGAAGGTAACAATTGTTTTATAAATATTAGTCATTCATAATTACAGAGTGAACTAGAAGGAAATATTCTAATCCTTAATCTCTTACAAGGATCCTAAGACATCAACAAAAGATTCATGATCTTCCATACACTCCTGTTTACACCAAAAATATAAAAGGGCTAAACACTGCATCTTCATGTTCTGGATAGTGTTGTGCCTATCTTCAAAGAATTTTTGGTTGCTATCTAGCCATTTATCCATCCAAAAGTAAGTATTTTCCCCATTCCCTACCTCAGGAAATTTATTCGCCATTTATAGCATTGAAAGTCATCTGTGTCATGGACTAAGTTGCTCGGACTCGGCTGCGGGTGTCCGATACGGGTGCGGATCTAGAGGTCAGATCCTTCATGATCTAAATTTAAAGATTCGGGGGTACGGATCCAGGTACGGATACGGGTGCGGGAATTCGGCTAAAAATAATTCAATGACATAGAAATAATTCAATTATTTAAAAATAGAGTTATAAAAATATGTCTAAATTATGAGACATTATGTGAAAAACTTACAAGGTATTCCGAGAAGGAGAAAATATTGAACAAGAGTAGACTTTTAGAAGGAGATAAACGGAAAAGGACTGACATAGAAATTTATATATACAAGGTATTCCATTTTCTTCCATATCACCCTACCTTTTGATTTGTTTTCAAAAATCATTGTATCTGTCCCAAATTTCTCCATTGATTTTGGTCAAAGTACCCAAAATCGGTTGACCAGATCCGACACGGATCCCATACCCACACCCACGTCGTGTCGACACAGGTGCGGCACTGAAAGGGAAGAGTCCGAGCAACTTAGGTCATGGATATATCACAAAAAGTATGCAAACCTACATTCAAAAGCATAAATGATCTTCAGCCTTAACAAGGAAATTACTACGCAATTATTTCAGTACCTTCAATCATCATAGTGTTGCATCTACGGGGCGATGCATATGGAAGTATATGTAGGAGCGGATGAAACTATTTCAGGCGATCTTCTCTTCGTTATCATCTAGATGTACTACTTGCATCCTCTGTCGTATGTGGACATATCATCTATATGTACGTCATTTTTCTCTAAAGACCAAGTCAAATATACAAACAGTCTCCATTTCAGGAATTTTTAAAAACTGATAGTAGTAAACAGGGGCAGATCTATGTATGGGATTGGGGGGTGCCACGCCACCCAAATGCTCGGGTAAAATTTTGTTTATGTATTGATATTTTATACAAAACGCCTATATATGTAAGGGGTGACACCCGCAGTCACAAACGGACTCTAGGTGCCGTGGTTAATGTGCCAAACTCCCAGATACAAGATCCATGATCGCTACTCAATGCCTGCATTCCCATTCCAGTTTATTTTGTTCCCGCTTCTTTCTTTTCTTTCTGCTCCTTTTCTTTATTTCTTTATCTTTGTATTCCCTCCTCTTTGAACCCATTTTTATTATTTACTAAATTGTTTCATTTTTCTTTTTCTAGATCTTCAAAATTTTACTTGAATGTGATTAAAACAATTTCTCTTTTTTATCCATCTACTGTTATTTTTTCCTTGATTTCCAATTTTTTTAAGAACGATGATAGGATCAATAGAGATAATATTAATCTAACCATATATATTTGAAGGGGTGTACTTGCTAATTTTAAATTTTTATTTTTATTTATACTTTTTAATCACATTGAATCAAGAGAATTAGATTAAATTGGATAAAACCTATTCGATTTGGTGATCACGTAGTTATTCATGAACCAAAAATTGTGTACATCAAATATAATTAATTTAAAACGGATCGAACGGACTAAATGTACGGCCTAATTCAATCTCTTTCGTTAGTGGTTAGTTCGCATTAAAGACAGTGGCATCCGTAGTCACTAAATCCTGGATCCTGAGATTTAGAGCTAAGGCAAACTACAAGAAGCATTTAAATAGAGATAAGGCAAACTACAAGAAGCATTTAAATAGAGATAAAGGATGGAGAAACATACCAAGAGAATTCCTTCAACACTTGTCCTCATACCTTCCTTCATGTAGCTGCAGACAATATTGTTAAGGCAAATTATTGGAATTAGATAGGGTACAAATGGAACACAATAAATATTGAAAATTTAAAATAACCAACCCGCTTTATTAGGGATTGAAGTTTTATCTAGGGTTTTAAAGAATATTTGGTACAAAGACTAGAAAGAATATTCAAGGAAAAAAAGAACGTACTTGAGTTTCATGCGAGCAAGGCGATCAGCAACGGAAGTGTCCTTCTCCATTTTAGGCTCTTTAGTGCCAAAGGTATAGCTAGAGAGTGGGTATGTGTTCACTATAGCTGACGTCACCATCTTTATCGCTTCTTCCAGCAAACGGCGAGGAAGAAGACTCCGAGGCGGATATATACTTTGTTTCTTCCGTTTTCTTTTCTACTGAAAATGAAAATGGTTCATCATCCTTTGATTTGCCATTAAATCTTGATGCTTCTCCACTTGTTGGTGCGTGGCGCTTCTTTCTTTTATCGTGGATTCGTCAATTTCAGTGGTATGCGTTTGCGCGTGTTTTACACGTTAATGAGTAAATAATTTTTAAAAGTTTGCATAAATAGTATATTAAATGATGTATTTGAACTATAAAAAAGTGTAACTTTTTGAAAATATGTTTATAGATTCTATTTAGCTAGTTAAATGAAAGATAAATCCTACCATATGAAAAATTTCAAAGTTTTATAGGGATATCTTGTTAAAATAATTGCTATTTTGTGCTCTAATACCGAAGACAAATAAAAATACTTTTATTATGACACGTCTTTAAATATAGTCTTTTAAAAATATAGGAATGAAGTAGTTCGACTATAACTCCTACAAAAATAAATTAATAATTAACAATATAAACTCTAAAAATGACTAATGTTGAGTTAATAACTTAAAAAATTGACCTTTAATTTTCATAATATTCATAATTGTTAGAGGGTCAAAATGTCACGATCCAAAATTCATTAAAGGTTGTGATGGCGCCGGATACCGCAGTCAGGCAAGCCAAAAATAAATACTTAATTTGATTCTCATTTTTTTATATTTTTGAAATCATATTTCCTTCAATTAAATAGTAAAAGATGAAGTTTACAAAATAAATAATAATATTTTTAAAAATCTTCCAATGCAGTGCAACCCATAATCGCCCAAAACCCAGTAGAGGCTATTTTCAAGAGTTATTTTCTTCCCCAAAGTATTGGTAAGTGATTCAAAACCATTTTCTTTCAATTACCCATTACATTTCTTGAATTATCAACCTAAAATCTAGAATTTTCATGGTAGAATTAGGGGTTAGGGTAGAAACTAGGAATTTCGGACATTTTGGGATTTAGACCTCAATTTGAGGTCGGATTCCAAAACCAATTATATATTCGGGCTCGGGGATGAATGGGTAAATGAATTTTGGTCCGAACCTCGGGTTTTGACCAAGCGGGCCCGCGGTCGATTCTTCGACTTTTTGGAAAAAAATTTGAAAAATTTAATTTATGCAATATAATTGATTCCTTTAGCAATATTTGATATTATTGAGTCATTTTTGAATAGATACGAGTGGTTTGGAGGTGAATTTCAAAGAAAAAGTTGTGATAAAGAATTAAGTGGCCTTCGGAGCGAGGTAAATATTGTGTCTAACTTTGACTTGAGGGAATTAAGAACCCTAGACTATTTGTTATGTGAAATTCATGTGAGCGGCGTATATGTGAGGTGACGAGTACTTATGCGCCGCCAATATACCTGTTTTCCATGTTTTTCATTTTTCTTATATTGTCTATTTCCTATGCCTAATTGTTATCATGTTTATGGATCTTCTGGTAATAATTGAGTATTTATTTCAAAGTTAAGATTGATATTGTGGAACCAAATGTTAAAGTAAGGTTTGTACATGTTATTTTATCTCCCTGTTGTTAATTTTTCATTGCATTATGGTAAGGGAGAGTGTTAATGCACGAAGGGTGATGTCGTGCCATATTGTGAGTGTTAATGCACGAAGGGTGATGCCGTGCCATATTGTGAGTGTTAATGCACGAAGGGTGATACCGTGCCATATTGTGAGTGTAAAAGTATAAAGGGTGATGCCGTGCCATATTGTGAGTGTTAATGCACGAAGCGTGATGTCGTGCCATGATATGAGAGTTAATGCACGAAGGGTGATGCCGTGCCATATTGTGAGTGTAAAAGTATAAAGGGTGATGCCGTGCCATATTGTGAGTGTTAATGCACGAAGGGTGATGCCGTGCATTTTTCCTTACTATATTCACTATTCCTGTTGATTCATGGTATATTGACTGCTCCGATGATCATTCTGTTGTAGTTCTTTATCTTGTATTCCCCTCAGTATGTTCCCCTACCGACAATTCCTGTTTAGTTCTTCATTTCTGCTATTTGTATATATACTGTTAAATTGTACAGGTTGATTTGTAGGTGCCTTGCCTTAGCCTCGTCACTACTTCGTCGTGGTTACGCTCGACACTTACCAGTACATGGGGTCGCTTGTACTGATGCTACACTCTGCACTTTCTGTGCAGATTTTGATACCGACTCAGGTTGATCGAGATTTTGTTATTGGTCCGTTGTCTGAAGACTCAAGGTAGATCTGTCGGCGTTCACAGACCTTGAAGTCCCCGTATATCTTTTATGCCCTACTGTTTTCTTTCATTCAGACAATTGTATTTCTTTTAGACTATTACTTGTAGTAAATTCTAGAATGCTTGTGAATTGTGACTCCAGATCCGGGTGGCAGTAATTAATACAGTTTTATGATATTCCGCACTTATTATATTTTATCTTAGTTAAATATTGTTAATTACCTAATGGGAATAAGGAATTGGTTTAATAATTTTCTAACGTTGGCTTGCTTAGTAAGTGAAATGTTAGGTGCCATCACGGTTCCGTCGGTGGAAAATTTCGGGTCGTGACAGTTGGTATCAAAGCGCTAGGTTGCCTAGGTCTCACGAGTCACGAGCAAGCTTAGTAGATTCTAAAGGATCGGTACAGAGACGTCTGTACTTATCTCTCAGAGGCTATGAAGTTTAGGAATAATATCACTTCTTTCATTCCTTATCGTGCGGCATTGATTTAGCTTGAAACATATATCTCGTATTCCTTTTGTGTATGACATTGCGCACTCGGTATTAGTTGTGCGTCAACGGTTTGTGATACCGTAAATGGACTACGAGAAAGCCATAGATGCTCAAACATTGCCTCAACGTGTGGTTCCCACTGAAGATGCGGGCACATTGAGAGACCACCTAGTAAATTATGTGGGGGGGGGGGGGCAA